ATTATTCACTTAATTATCTGCTTCAGTGTTCAGTGTTTGTTTAACGTAACCCAGTTATGTGCATCCTGTTGACATAAAAAAGTTAATTAAAGCCAACATATCAGAACCTGTTGTCATAAAAAAGTTAATTAAAGCCACCATATCAGACCCTGATGACATAAAAAGTTAATTACAGCCAACATATCATTTATTTGAGTGTGTTGAAGTTACATGACCAAATTATGTTTGTTTAACGTAACCCAGTTATGTGCATCCTGTTGACATAAAAAAGTTAATTTATGGAACCTGTTGACATAACAAAGTTAATTTATGGAACCTGTTGACATAAAAAGTTAATTAAAGCCAACATATCATTTTTTTTAGTGTATCTGAAGCAGAAACGAGCTGTGAGTTAGGCTGGTTCGTTTGTGTTGTACAGTTGTTCTTCCGATTAAAAGTTAAGAAAATGGAGCCCTTGTCTGTCGTTCTTCAGATGTCGTTAGAAAATTAAACATTTTTAATTGAAATATTACTGGCATAATTTGTTTCCCCAGTATGCCTAGATACCTGCCCTGAAGTTGGCTGTGCTGATTTTTATGAAATATTTTTTTTTTTTTTTTTTATTCAGACATCCCAAAATAAATTGTCATTTCCACAACCGAACAAAAACATGTGTTTTCAACCAAAAATGTTGAAATATTTGTAGTTATAAATATATTAAGATCACACTTGCATCTTTCCAAATTGTAAATTGATTTATTTCTCTGAAATGCAACTGTTAAGATTTTACAAAGTTAACACCAAAAAAACGCTGAATATTTCATACATTGAAACAATACATTCATATTTCTGACATTTTCAAATCTGAGATTTTTCAACTCATATACATATACTTTACCCTTAACTGCTAAATAATCAACACCACCACCATCATTACCTTAACTTTATTTTTTGTAATGTTTTACCAAAAAAAAAATTGTGGTTGTGGTTGTGGAAATGACAAGGGAAAGGCGGGTTATGGTGAAAATAACATTTCACATATACAACCTGTAGTAGAATTATAAATGATGGAAATGCAAAAGTGAGTCATGACCTCAATGTGTAGGACAAAATGAATCTCAAATTCAAGTTTGAAGTTTATTCTTATTTTTATTTCAAACAAGGATAGTGTATTGATGAACAACTGGCCTAACAGCACTTAATAAAAAAGATAACTCATTCCATGTGTCACAAATTATTTGAAACAAAAACAATATCATAATCACAAAAGTTTATGTGTTTACACTATATTTTTAGTACTATAGGCAAACTACTTTGCTTTTAAGCACAGACAATGTCCTTGCTAAGCCAACCTGTCTTTATCACTTCCATGTAGACAGATGTGGAAAAGACGGTTGTGGAAATGACATTTTCACCCCTTTCCCTCTAATATCTCATGTTTGACTAGCCTGTTAGTGTTAGTTTTAGAGTTAGCATTAAATAATCTCAAATATCATCTGATGAAATTGTAAAAATCCAGAAATGTTTCCGTCGGAATGAATTATGAGCGGTTCAGAAATGACATACAATAAACATACTTGCAGTATTTCTCATATTTACCTTGATATATCTCCAATTTATTAACCTCTGCTGGGACCATTCTTTCATTCAGCCATGTGGTTTCCTCTGGAGTGTCGGTTACTATGGTTACTGAGTATACAAATCTAGAACACTGAGCCTGGGATTGCATTTAATGCAGAGGTGTGGAAATGACCCCAGATAGCACACGTACGTCTGCAAGATGTCTGTTAAAGATCACTTCATCTGGAAAGCATCTGCTGTTTACTAACATCTTATAGACATCTTTAAGATGTCAGTTTAACATACATTCTAAATCATTACATCTTAAAGACATCTTCTAAACGTCTATTTGACATCTGACAGGAAACGTTCATAGACGTATTGCATGAGCAAACGCTCTAAAAAATACGTCTTCCAGATGTAAACACGCACATCAAATAGACATCTCCGTGATGTAAGTGTGCTATCAGGGACAGTGAACCCAAGGGAAGTGTTCAACATGTTTAAAATATGTCAAATTGAAAAGAAATATATATAAAAAAATATTAGATTTGAATGAATTGGGTTATAATGCATACTTTCTGTTTGAATTTAAAATTATATCAGTATTAGATTTTAAGTGAGATAAGGTTGAAGACCCAAAGTCTGGCTATAGGGACAGAGGCAAAATAGTAAAAAACGCACATAAAATGCCTCCTGTTTTATATAAAACAACAGAATTGAACAATGATTTTTTTATATAGGTTCCCCTACACATGTAGTAAGTTTTTTAAAAAAAACAGTGGAAATGTTTTTTTTTTCGTTTTTTTTTTTTTTTTTATATCTGTCAAGGACAGAAAAAGTACCACAGTTGGAGAATCACCCATAGGCTATGTTTTCTTTATAACATTATTATGTTATAGCCTATTAATTTTTATAGCGTAATTCCTTTCATTATGTCTGCACTGTCACTTCCCCTTTTCACTGGAAGCTCCTGTCACAAGGACAAATTCCTTGTGTGTGTAAACAATAAGGGTCATTGCACGAAATCGGTGCCTTTTCAACTTTAAAAATTTGAAAAATATAATTGTTTTAAACTGATTTTTTTCAGTACCCAATAAATTAAGACATCTTAACATGACAGGAAATTGTGTTGGGCCTTCTCAAGCTATGCCATTTATTATTTTATGACTGTTTATTTATTTCATGTGTTGATATTTTCCTCAGTCCTGTTACCGACTAAAGTGTTACTATAACTAATAATTCCAATTACAAATATGCAACAGTTTGCACATATATTAGTAGTATTTTGTTCCCTCTTTTCATTCAGACGATGTCATATTTAAAACAATTCTGTTTTATATCATAATATCCATTCAGATTACTGAAAATGTCCTATTTCAGGGACGACATCACATTACAATTAAGAAATATGTATACTTTGACAAGATATTTATTTTAAAAAGGGTCTTGTCCAAAATGCAATATAGTGCAGGTTACTATGGTGAGATCTGTTTGACTGTCAAATGTCATTTTTCTTTTAAAATATCACATTAATGACAGTAACAGGACTGAGCTCGAGTGTCTTCAGTCACCTATTGTTTGTCATTGCAGTTAATTGCATGCATTATGGACAAGAGTTATGAACTTATTTACTTCCATACTAGTTATGGAACATTAGGCCATGATAATCTGCTTCCATATGGGAGGTAATATAGAATTATATAGAAAAATACAATCATATAGAAGAAAACGTATATCTTTATTAAAACAAATCATCTTTGGACATATAAAACATGGTCTGCTCTCCATCTCATCCTCAACACCTTTTCTACCTCATTGCATTCTTCTATGCCTCTATTTTTCTTTTCTTGTTCTCGGTCTCTCTTATAGGCCTTCTTCTTTTTTTCCCATAGAAGATACCGTTCTATCCTCTCTGGATCCTGGTCTCTATGATTGCGATAGCGCCGTTGCTTCTTGGCTGCAGTTAATGGCATGTTACTAACAACTGTAAAAGTGTATAGCAAATTAAATGTGATGTTAATTCTATGCAAATAATACATAAAAAAGTAAGGAGCATAAGTATACAAATAAAAAACAGATGCATAAACAAACAATGTTAACTAAGCATGTCGATGCTCATATGTCGCTGCTTTTAGCTCAATAACACACAAAATAACCTTTATAAATGTCTATGTCCCTTAGTTGTTGTCCTATTCCTTAAATTGCGTTTTAATGTTTTCCCCTGCAAATAACAAATACACCATCTATGACTGAGTTATGCAGCTGGGCTAGAATCTATGCTCCCTTTTGCTCTGGGATAGTAACAGGACTGATGGTATAATTTGATGCTAATATGCTAATTTCTAAATAACAGGTCAAGGTCAGAAAGGCACATGGTAGCCTATGTAATCTGAAAGGTTAATTCTTCTAGATATTGGTAATATTAGGATTAATAAATAATTGTTTATATGTACACTTTAAAAAATGGTAACAGGACTGATGTTGTATGCCGACCCCTCTCTAACAACCATGATAAAACATGAAAAATAGGACAATTAGGAAGAGAGAAACCTATCCTTGCTTACAATGTGGAATCCACCTTATCTAAATGATATCACTTCCTTGAAACGATGTCACTTCTGGTTTGTACCATTATTTTATAGGGGTTTTTTGGTGATAGTAACAGGACTGATATGAAATTAGGGGACAATGATAAAATGACTTATATTTCTAAGAAAATATATCTATTTATGTCAAAACCATTGCTTAACAATGAGATTACACTTTAGACAATATAAAACTGTGAAAATTGGATAATTTTACCAACATTTTACAAATGAGAAGTCCTGTTGAAAAAGAACAACCAAAGCGAGGGACAGGCTAAAATCCTTACCCATAGCATATACTATGTGATTTGAATTATTTAAAATGGTATTTTATTGGCTTTTACTTGGTCTTATATTGATGCATATGATCTGTAGTACCATTCACTTTTTTAAATTACACATTTATTTGTTGTTAAACCAACTTTAGAACTGATTATTTGTTAGGGACGCAAAAGGCACCGATTTCACGGAATCACCCATAAGACGAGTCTATAACGAAAATAGATTTTAGCTAAAAAGGTTGAACCATCTCTAATTAGCTATTAAATTAATTAAACATTTCTGTTAGCCAAAACAATCTTTGGCATTTTATTCCTAAACTGTGCGTAGTTAAAAAAAAAATCACAATCATCAGAGAAACATTTAATTTAAAAAGAAAATTGTACGTTTAACTCCTGGTTTGATGCATAAATCTGTACAGAGGCAATAATGCAACGAGTGTTGTACTTTTTATAACGCCCGTGACTTTATAAGCGTTTCGGTACGAATTTATGCACTTTTTATTGATTTATCAATGTGTTTTTTTCGACCGAGAAGGCTAAACAGAAACCGGAACCATCGCTGTGTGGGATCGTGTGTTCACACCGGAATGTTTTCAGCGCGCTCGAGTTCCGGTGTTTCTGGACACTGGCGCTTGTTTTCTGTTGTTCATCAGAGCGTCAGTTCAGCGCTAATTCAACACACACACTATAACATGGACAAGTAAGTTTACGAAGTGGTGCCCTGTGACGAGCTCCTCAGATCATGGCGGTCCCGATGGAAAGTCAGCTGCAGAGTATTTTTGAGGATGTAGTGGTGGGTCATTTCATTCATTAAAAGATTGTTCCATACTGTATTAGCAGACAATTATCTTATAAAAACGAATACATAATAAACAAAAAATCTTTAAACCTTCAAATGTTTTGTTTACACTAGAAAACTGAGGTGATAGAGGAGGCGTTTGCTGGGTGAGTAAATAATAAAGACTGAAACTAGCGCTGATCTGTAGCCAGTGAAGGGATGAGAGTCAGCTGTGTGTGTGTGTGTGTGTGTGTGTGTGTGCAGCATGTTCATGGACAGTGCGGAGGATGAGAGGAACAAACTCATGAGCTGTTTAGGAGCCTTCAGACAGTACTGGATCAGCCTGCCCCAGGTCAGCTCACACTCATTCATCTGGTTACAGTAGTTCAGCTCTGTGATGTTAGTCCTGCCCTGGGATATTGCAGTGTCTGTTCTGAATGATTTATCTGTGTGCTGCACATCTTTGTTTTAAAATCATGTGTCTCGTATTCTTGAATCAGAATAACTCTAGTTACGCTAGTCTTTTCCTAACTATTGTGTCCTGTATATCTGAGTAAAACGCTTCTGGAACAAGAACAAATGTGGCGGGGCTTGATTGTGTCTGTGAGAAATTGATTGGATGGTTGTGGTTTGCTATTGGTGGATCTGATGTGATTGACAAGTTATAGCCCCGCCCTCGTCATCAGAGAAGAGAAGAGATGCTGCAAGAGGAACTTATTCTGATTCAAGATTATCAGGAACATGGATTTAAAACAATAATGATGTGCACCATAAATCATTTATAATAAACATGGCAATATTCAGTAAGAAAATAAGAATTGTCAATATTGATTTCATGGTGACTTTAAACTTAAGCTTAAAACTTAAGACAAAGATTTACGATGTTAATAACTGTGGGAATGTGTCCATTGTATATTTTTTTCCTATAAAGTCATTTTGATGGGCAGTTAGAACAGATGTGGCTGAGAGATTGTGTTTAATGTGTGTGTGCTGTCACTGCAGGAGTCACATGATCAGTGTGTGCAGTGGATCGTCCGCTTCATTCATGGTCAGCACAGCCCCAAACGCATCGCCTTCCTCTACGACTGTCTGGCCATGGCGGTGGAGACCAGCCTCCTGCCTCCCAGGTCACAACCACAACCAGCTACACACACACAAGCAATGTGTTGTGGTTTCCAGGAGCTCTGGTTACATGCATACATACATAGATAACACAAGAGAATAGGAAGAACATAAAATAGTAAAGAAATAAATAGTTAGTTTAATTATTTTTTCTTAAAATAATATACATCTAGATCAGAAGACTTTTGTACAGATGTGTACATTATGCACTGTAACTGTATAAATGGAAATATGTATTTTCATAGGAAGTATCTATTTACTGCCTAACTCTCGGGTGGCATGAACACCATAATAGTACTGAATTATGTAAAAAAAAAAAAAAAGGTAACACTTTATAATAACTACACGCTAATAATCATTAGTTAAGCATGAGTAAACAGTTAATTCATCATTCATAAAGCATTAATAGACATTAATAAGCAGTTTATAAATACAGCTATAAATGCTTTCTTCTTGATTTACAAGCATATCTATAATTTATTTAATAATTGTATTTTCATCCTTTATTAATGATCAATTTATTATTTCTAAATGAATAATTGCATTTTTTTCATAAACCAGTTATTTAAGAGTTTTCAGTGGTTCATAACATTACTTAGAACGTGTAAGTAAATGATTAATAAACTATTTAAATGTACATTCATACATCTTATTATTCAGACATATAGTGATAGTTACTTAGTGTGTTAATAAATGCTTTATTAACATGTATTTATGCTGTAATTCAGGGTTAATTCGGGTAGTTATAAAGCATTTAGTAGTGGTCAGTTAACTATGTTTGTGAGCTCATCTAAAGTGAGGACTATTCATGCCTTGTAAAGCATTTATAAAGGAGATTTAAAGGCTGTTAAATATTTCTATGTTCTGAATCACTGTGTTGTGTTTGTTACATTTTACCGTTTAGAAGATTGATGCGCCTTCAAATCTCCTTTATAAATGCTTTACAAGGCATGAGTAGTCCTCACTTTAGATTAGCTCACAAAATAGTTAACTGACCACTACTAAATGCTTTATAACTACCTGCATTTACTACATTTACTTACACTTTCTAAGTGATCTTATGAATGACTGACAACTCTTGTTTGTAAATAATGTTATACTTCATTTAGAAATTATTAATTGATCATTAACAAAGTATGAAAATACAATTATTAAACGCATTATAGATATGCTTATAAATCAAGAAAAAAAGCGTTTATAGCTGTATTTATAAACTGCTTATTAATGTCTATTAATGCTTTATAAATGATGAATTAACTGTTTACTCATGCTTAACAAATGATTAATAGCATGCAGTTATTATAAAGTGTTACCAAAAAAGGAAAATCCACCGGTTTTAGTACACATGGATGACAAGCTCTGTGTGTGTGTGAGTTTACACAGAGTATTTATAGTAGTACATCCTTTATTCATTAGTTACAAACCAGAACTCAACCCAAACCTGAAGTCACAAGACAGTTTACAGTTCCCATCGGGCTTGGGTCGAGTGCCAGACCTCCAGAGTTTCGGGTCATGTGACTGTGTGTGGGTGTTCCTGCAGAATGGTGTGTCAGGCTCTGATCGGCTCGGACAGTCTGGAGTGGGAGAGAACTCAACTCTGGGCTTTGACCTTCAAACTCATCCGCAAAATCATTGGAGGAGTCGACTACAAGGTGAAAAGATAAACTGAAGATATGCATGAGCTGGAATCTGTTGAAAACCGAAACTTGTGATATTTTGTATTGTGCCATTGCTTTACAGCAAACTTGTGTTTATTAATTCATAGATTGACATTCAAGTCAAGTCAATTTTAATGGTGTATTGCTTTTCACAATACTCATTATTTCAAAGCAGCTTTACAGAAAGCCATAATGTTGATGTTTTAAACACTTTAAAGTGCCCCTATTTTGCTCTGAATACACAATATGACCTCTCATGTAGTGTGTATTACAGCTGTTTCTGAATCTAAAAACTCTGCAAAGTGTCAAGTGGGGTTACTGTCTCCCAAAAGAAGGAAGCCACTCTGACTCTGAAGTGATTCTGAAGCAATGTTATTTAGGTTTGTCAAAACTACGATAAAACCTGTTGGAAAGCATCTTTTGCAGCGATTTTTGTGTGAGCATATCAGTGAACACCCCAGAACAACCAGCGCTGTATTTCCAGTTGTTTTCCTCGCATGCACTAACGTTAATGGATGTCTGACAATTTCGTTGCTAAACACGTCTGTAGATATAGAGACCACACTTGTTATGCGGTACTAATGCTCTCACGGAACAGATATGCTTATTTAACTTCTTAGTGTTAAATAAAAAGTACCGTGAGATGAAATCCTGGAGGTGTCAGTGCTTTCTCTCCGTCCATGCAGTAGATGCATTGCACACCCCTGAATAAGCGCGGGTTTCTAGTGCATTTACTGAGGTAATATCTTTGGTTTAACCCATTTGAGAAATTGAGAGGCGGCCAAAATCATATTTTAAAATGGACTGAATAAAGCTCTTTACGAACTTGACGTGCGATGCCTTGCTGACTGATGTGTGTGTGCATGAATCACTGTCACACGCACAAGCTCAGAGCAATATTGTAAGTTACTGCATGATAATACATTTTTATAGCAGAATAATAATACATCACGATACACAGTCTCACTTTTAGTTACGTCTTTTAACTATTATAATATTTCGAAGGGCAAAAACATGAACTTTAACTATTGGCTTTACTTCTTCAATCAGCTGTCACTTTAGCGCGAGGCCAGTAGCATGTAGCATTAGCACCTCAGCTCCACCCACGTCACGCCTCTTTGCCCATTTTATTTTATCCGGGAGTGACGAGAGGTGACGCGCTGCCAAGATGGCGACGGCCGGCCCCGCCCACTTTAGGCTTCAAAAACGCTCTTCAGAAACCTACGGGTGACGTCACGGACACTACGTCCATTTTTTTTTACAGTCTATGGGTAAAACCCACACCATCGTTACTGTTCGTATCACTGTGTATCAAGAGCTGAGAAAGAGCTGAAATTCACGGCTGTTTGGTTTCTTACCAATCACAACAGACTGAGCCATCTGACCAATCAGAGCAGAGTAGACCAATCACAACAGACTGGATCATATGACCAATCAGAGCAGAGTAGACCAATCACAACAGACTGGACCATCTGACCAATCAGAGCAGAGTAGACCAATCACAACAGACTGAGTCATCTGACCAATCAGAGCAGAGTAGACCAATCACAACAGACTGGACCATCTGACCAATCAGAGCAGAGCAGACCAATCACAACAGACTGGACCATCTGACCAGTCAGAGCAGAGTAGACCAATCACAACAGACTGAGTCATCTGACCAATCAGAGCAGAGTAGACCAATCACAACAGACTGGGCCATCTGACCAATCAGAGCAGAGCAGACCAATCACAACAGACTGGACCATCTGACCAATCAGAGCAGAGTAGACCAATCACAACAGACTGGACCATCTGACCAATCAGAGCAGAGTAGACCAATCCCAACAGACTGGACCATCTGACCAATCAGAACAGAGTAGACCAATCACAACAGACTGGGTCATCTGACCAATCAGAGCAGAGTAGACCAATCCCAACAGACTGGGCCATCTGACCAATCAGAGCAGAGTAGACCAATCACAACAGACTGGACCATCTGACCAATCAGAGCAGAGTAGACCAATCACAACAGACTGGGTCATCTGACCAATCAGAGCAGAGTAGACCAATCCCAACAGACTGGGCCATCTGACCAATCAGAGCAGAGTAGACCAATCCCAACAGACTGGGTCATCTGACCAATCAGAGCAGAGTAGACCAATCCCAACAGACTGGGCCATCTGACCAATCAGAGCAGACTGGACCAAAATGTATGATGTATTTTAAATCAAAAGCATTCATTAATTTTTACATAGTCTTTCTCTAAGCGTCTCCACGGGCCCCCAGCGCTGTCCTGTGGCCCCCACTTTACAATCTCTGTGTGTGTGTGTGTGTGTGTTTCAGGGCGTCAGGGATCTCCTGAAGGCCGTGTTGGACAAGATTCAGACCGTCCCAAGCTTTGTGAGCTCGGCTGTGGTCCAGCAGCTGCTAGCGGCACGAGAAGTACGTGTGAATCCACAGACCATGATCCTCTAGTGTTTGCTGGTTGTGATCAATTGTCCTGTGTGCAGGTGGTGGAGTACATACTGGACCGCAACGCTTGTCTGCTGCCCGCGTACTTCGCTGTGACCGAGATCCGGAAGCTGTATCCAGAGGGCTTGCTCTCACACTGGGTAACACGCCTGCAGACTCTTGGCACAGATTTACTGAGGGCGTATTAGCGTGAGACCGCAAGCCCATGAGAGCGCAGACGAGAGGGGAGAGTTCACACAGGGCTCCAGTCGAACATTTGAGAGCGGTAGCACTGGGGGAAAATTGATCATAAAGTTCATTTAATCATAAAAGTACTATTGTTTTGCATTAATAAGTCCAATAACTAATAATATTACATGTTTGTTTATTGGAAATTTAACAGTGAAGAACTAAGCTAGAATTGTTATGCAGATAAAAGTGACTTTTTTTAACAACGGTAACGTGCAAAACCCCAATTCTTATTAAATGTGGCATTCTGAACTTACAGACAGCTTCAGAGATTATAAAAGGAGCACTCTTTACTTCTTTCGGTGTAATTCAGTCACAATCTGAAGAAAAGTATTAGTTTTACGTGAGACTGTGTGACTTCCTACTTTTCCATATATTAGGGAGTGGAAATAGCTAAAAATCAATAAGTGATCCTCTGCCCTCAGTGTTAGTTTTCCTTCATCTTTAAAAGTTTAGTTTTACAAATCATCACATTAAAAGAACATTTAGTATATACTATTTAGTGCTTTAAAGTGCTGGAAAAAGTGTGAAGCACTTGAAAGTCTCTGAAAAGTGCTTGAATTTTGGGTTGTACGAACCCTGAGATGAATAATGTAAAAACATTGGACTATTTCGGCCACAATACCATGGTTACGACATTAAATCCATGGTGAATGTTGGTGATTTGTGGACTGAAAAGCCTTCTTTAACAAATGCAATAAGGTTTAGCCACAAAAATAACCAGTATAAAATAACTAGTTTCTCACTGCATGTATTTAGTAAACCCTGACAGTAATTTTTTAATGGCAAAAGAGGGTTTGCACTGGCGCAAGCTGTTAGTAAATCTGGCCCTCGGTGTAGACCGATGGAGCTGTTGACTTGCTCTCAGTTGTTCTTCCCCAAATGAAAGCCATGTGATCTTCTTTCCAGCTGTTGGGCAGCCTGATATCTGACTTCGTTGATAGTTTCAGACCGACCGCCCGTATTAACTCCATCTGTGGTAAGACGCATTCACTCGTCCTCATCTCACAGTGTCGTGTCATTCATATCCCATAAGCCCCTGCGGCAGTCTGTCTGGTGTTTAACTAGTGTGTGTGTGTGTTTCAGGGCGCTGCAGTCTTCTGCCGGTGGTCAATAACTCGGGGGCGATCTGTAACTCGTGGAAGCTGGACCCGAGCACCCTGCGCTTCCCTCTGAGGGGAATGCTGCCCTACGATAAGGTACTTTACTCACCTGTGTCTTTACAGTACAGATCGCTCAAAGCAGCCTTACAGTGATAATACGAAAATAATGCAGCCAGGATAGTTTCGGCTGTACAGCAGCTCTAGAAGAAAGTCATTGTCCAGGTTAAAGCTGCAGTCCGTAGCTTTTTTGGGGTTAAAAATTATCCAAATAGATATTTGAGAAAATACATAACCAGTCAGTGTTCAAACCTCTCTGCTTGCCTTAGCTCGATTCAAAGCGGTAAGCTTGTGATAATGTTTTTAATTCCAGTGGTACTGGTGGATTTCAGCGGGAGATTCGAGCATATCTTTGAGTCATTACGTCACATCTGCACACACACATCTGTACACACACATCTGTACACACACATCTGTACACATAAAGAAGAGTCTCGGCTAGTAGGCTATATTGCGTGTGAGGATGCTGGAGGTGGAGATTTATAGCCTTTTCTCACAGCACTTGATATAATTAAACTTATCAATTTGATGGCGGATCCAGAAAGGTTCAAACGACAATCACCAGTGACAACAGATTCACCCGCTGTAACATGCAAAAGACTTCGTTCGGACTTCGGAGTGGATACAGAAAAAAAGAGACTGGAATCGGCCCATGCGAAAACAAGGATAATATCGGAAGGACATTACATGTAGTCACGCTAGTGTTGTAGTCAAGACCACCTAACCCGAGACCAAGACAAGAGTGTATCGAGACCGAGACAAGACCAAGACTTTCAGGGGCCGAGACCAAGACAAGACCAAGACCGAGGGAGGGCGAGACCGAGTCAAGACCAAGACCAGCGCCCCACACTACATGACACAATAAAATGTGAAACATGATCAAAAGAGCTTCTCAAATTGATCTGAAAGATCCACATTCCCATTAAAAACAGATATTTAACACTCAAAGCTGAAATAAACGTAACCATCTTTATTCAATACTCCTGGGTGACTTCCATCATTTAGTACAGAATGTAAAACAAGTCTTCACTTTTCTTACTTAAAATTAGCTACTCAACTTTGTGGCCTGTCTCGTGACATCCCACAAGATTTGTGTCAACACAGAAAACATTTAATCACTGGATAGGTTTTTTTTTCGTTTATTTAAAGTGTGGTTTATGTCAGCTGAATGTGCGGAACGCTTTTCAGAGAAGATAAGGTATTTTAGCGCAATTCACCCAGCGGTAATTCAGGAAAAAAAAAAATATCCGAATGCTACACATGAAACTATGGTCTTCCGACCTTTTACCATACATCGTGTCGATTTATTTTGATTACTATATGCCAGGGAGAGAGAGCAAGACAGCGCTTAGGAGACGGTGAAGCCTTTATACATTCGCCTGGCTCCGCAGAGAGAGAGAGAGAGTGCGCGCGCGCGACCGGGGCGCTCTCTCTGCTCGTTCTTCTGGTGCGCCCTGTCACACGCACAGCAGTTCGTCTACATTACTCATCTATCAAATAAGACTATGGCGGGACAAAAATTCGCTTTGGAGCAGGAGCATAAGAGGACTCGTTAACGTTGAGGGCATTCAATATCGATGGTTCATAAAACTTAGAACCGGTTCTCGAGTGGAACCGGTTTTCAATTCCCATCCCTGTAATATGTATAACGTTAGCTAATATTGACAAAATCTCTTTGTGTGAGGAGTAATTTTATTTGGTACGAGGCAGATTGCTAACGTTAGCTAGCCAGCTTTGCTAACATCACTTACACATACCTTACCTTTCTTTGTGCTGCCTTTCTAAGTGATAAAAGTTTGACGTAGTCCCCACCGTCTCTGAAAGCGAAGCACTGCAGAATTTACAAGAAGCTGTATGCTTTCTTCTGGATGTTGTTTTGCAAATATTTTCTTTACGATTTTTGTAGCCGAATTTTATTACTGAAGATTTTGCAGACATTTTCTCCCGCTCCCAGACAACCACAGATCACTTTCTTGGGAGTGCGTCGTGCGAGTGAAAGGGGGCGGGGATGGGTGACAGGCAACGGTAACAAAAATACATAAGCAATGACCAATGAGTCACGTTATTGCTTGGATTTGAATCAGTACGTTTTACATACAATAAAAGCAAGGATGTTAACAAAAAAATTAGTCAATATACTGGCAGATTAGTGATATTTTCACAGTTATGGTCTTGTCTGGTCTTGAAAAAAAATCCCGAGTCCTCAGTGTCCGAGACCGAGACAAGACCGAGACCAAATGCGGTCGAGTCCGAGACGAGACCGAGACCATCAAAAAGTGGTCTCGAGACCGGTCTCGAGACCAAGACCGGTCTCGAGTACTACAACACTAAGTCACGCAATGCTGACGTTGTTAACATTAACAATTTGAGAACAAGTATAATTTGCACGGTTTTGCGTGATATGATAACTTATAAGCGATTGTTAGATTTAATGGTAACACTTTACAATAAGGTTCCATTAGTTAACATGAACTAACCATGAACAACATCTCTGTTCAGCATTAGTTAATATTTGTTAACGTTAACTCACACATGTACTAATGCATCAATTCTCATTAAAAGCACGGTTAGTTAACATTATGCATTAGTTAACATGAACTAACCATGAACAGTGCCTTTAACCCTCTGATGGTCTTCAAAAAAAAGTCACACTCGTGGTCTTCGGGGTCTATTGGACCCCAGACAACAACATTTAATTTTGTAACCGAACAATATTTTTTTTTTTAACAAATATAATTTTACTCTGTTTATTAATGTTTTTACTCAACATTTGTGCAGTTTTTGGAGAATTTGTGATTTTTTAAAAATTTCTATAAATAAATAAATAAATATTTAATTAAATAGGATTTTTACAAAAAAACAGCATTTTATGTTAAATAAACTTTACAAAAGACCCAGATTTCTAACTTTCATTCCTGGGGATACCATGTATAATTTTACAAGGTTTAATGTAAGATTTTTGCCCATTTTTTTGGAAAATACAGGTTAAAATTTGTAATAAATCACTTTAACCACTAGATGGCTATAGAGCTCCATTATATGCTATTTGCTATTTGAATTACTGAAAGATATAGTTTCTAAAGTTGGATTCAGTTGGATTCATATCTAAATATTATAAAATCACAATTATAACAAAAATAATATAATTTTTGTCAAAATTTAGCATTTTTTGTTCTGAAAAAACACTATGCATGGTAAACCGCATGACTTCTGCAGACAGGGTTGGAGCAGGTTTGGCACTTCACTGTTGTTGTTGTTGTTGTGTGTGTGTGTGTACATTTTATTTTTATTTTTATGTGTACAGTGTCACCAATTTATTTTTGTGGTGGTTCTTCATTTTGTATGATTTTATTTGACAAATTATAAGACTTTTTATAGCCTTACAAATGTATTCCTGTGTGTATGTGTTTGTGTGTCTGTGTGCGTGTGTGTGTGTGTGTGTGTGTATGTGTGTGTGCGCACATTTTCAATGCGTCTAAGTGTTACCAATTTATTTTTCTGGTGGTTCTGCATTTTAGATTATTTTATTTTACAAATGATAAGAGAACAGTTTTTATAGTCTGTATGTATTCCTGTATAAATGTATTCCTCTTTATGTGTGTGTTTGTGTGTGTGTGTGCGCCTGTGGTGAGCATGATAATTTTGGATTGTGGATGTTTTTTGCATTGTTGGAAGTGTGCCACTTTATTTCTGTCATTTCTGTCTATGTGTTCTACGTTGTTTCTGATTTTGATGATGTTATTTTGTCTATTTTGATTGCGGGGTCCAATAGACCCCGAAGACCACGAGTGTGACTATTTTTGTCACGCCAACATAAAAACAGATATCATTAAAAAAAATTTTTTTTTTTGTAGATCTAGAAAGTGTTGAGAGCCATAGAAAGTTTCAAACCATTTGGACAAAGAGAACATTTTTTTTAATTTGAGCAAAAGTCATTTGGGGTCCAATAGACCCCGAAGACCATCAGAGGGTTAAATAGCTTTACTGTTTTGTAAGGTTAACTTACTGTACATATTTACATTCGTTTATGTAGCAGTTGACACACACTAAGAATGAACATTTCTAACTCACCATGTTACCCTAAATGTAAAAATACTGTTGTGTACCTTATCAACACTCTTTCATATATATATATAAGGCATTGATTTGTTGGTAAACATAATTCTACAGCGGAAAACAAATGTTAGTAACACATCAGTTAATTGTTATGTGGATGGCGGATGAACACAAGCGCAGACAGCAAATGACTTTCACAGAATTTATTAAAGGACAAAAACAGAAAACAAAAGCCCACGATGGGGCAAAACAAGACAGGGTAAGGCAAACACTCAGACAGTAAACTTAACAACTACGACAGGAACAGAACTCCTAGATGACAAGACTCAACAGATTACTCACAGCAAGACTCACACAACGTATGACGATGTCAAACAATGAACCGACACAGGACAGCAAACACAAGGGGATTATAAAGGGAACACTAATGACAAGGACAGGTGAAACTGACTAGACAATAATCACAAGACGAGGATAACAAGGGGGCGGGGTAACGTAATGACTACGAGACACCACAAGCACATGGCCACACAATTGGCCATGCGCTTGTACACAAAACATTGGTTCTGTCATGATCCTGCCACAAGACTAGGAATAATCAATAACATGGCGGCAGAATCATGACATTAATGTTGAATAGTGTACACTTTACAATAAGGTTTATAAATTCCATTAATAAATGCTTTATTAATGGTTATTAATGTTAATAAAGAGTCTACAAATGTTAGTAACACATCAGTTAATGTTAAAAATAGTGTACACTTTTCACTAAATATACGTATTTGAATGTAAGTAATGATAGTAAAGTGCGTATAAACATGAACAACATATTTTTCCGCTGTAGAATTATGTTTACCAACAAATCAATGCCTTATATATATATATATGAAAGAGTGTTGATAAGGTACACAACAGTATTTTTACATTTAGGGTAACATGGTGAGTTAGAAATGTTCATTCTTAGTGTGTGTCAACTGCTACAT